ATACTAACTGGTAAGGAAATATGATGTGAGATTAGCATTACTTAAACTGATAACATTCGTCGATGTGAGCTTCATAATCTTTGATTATCTATGCTTTTAAATGAAGTTTCATACTTCATGTGAAATGAGAGTGTCTCCCCAATGATGTGTCTGTTTTCTCTTTATAAGAGCAGAAGAAATTTGAGGCTGACCAGGATCCTGAAGTGAGGAGCAGTCCCTTTCCCATTTAACAGCATTCATGAGCAGAAAATGGGGTAAGATTCATACTTGACCTCTTTGTACCTTTTCCCAGTATTTTGGCTTTCCAATTGATGTTGGCTTTGTCAGGCTTTGACCTATTGATTTTGAATTGACAGGAAGCAGAAATGCTGAGACAGTTCAGAAGAAAAATCACCAGAAGCCACAGCAACAGCAAAGGAAACTTATATGGAAGTATTTTTGATTTTCTCCTTTCTTTCCCCTACCCCCTGGCCCCTGCTGACTCTAACATAACTAACTATCCCCTTCCCTTTCCCTTTCATTCGTCTTCCTGAATTCACTGTCTTGTTTTCTGATTTTTCAACGAATTGTGTTGTACTGATTTTATTCACTTGAATTTTTGTGATTTGTTGCATTCTTTTGAAGTTTTACTAACATTGTGCCAGTTTTATACTTTCAGGGACTCGGAAGAGGAACAACGATGGAGGAGCAGGGTCGACCAACAGAAGGAGACGAGATGATGAGTCCATTTCCCATCTCTATACAGAAACATAATTGATCAAACAATTTTACCATCTTTCAATTCTATACGATGTCTAGTTCACTAACATGGCCCAAAGTGGTAAGTAACTTTTCGTGATTTGTTGCATTCTTTTGAAGTTTTACTAACATTGTGCCAGTTTTATACTTTCAGGGACTCGGAAGAGGAACAACGATGGAGGAGCATGGTCGACCAACAGAGGAAGACGAGATGACGAGTCCATTTCCCATCTCTTTACAGCAGCCAACATGCCCCAAAGTGGTAAGTAACTTTTCGTGATTTGTTGCATTCTTTTGAAGTTTTACTAACATTGTGCCAGTTTTATACTTTCAGGGACTCAATAAAATTGACAAAAATTTAGGACAAATTTGCTTTAAAAAATTGTAAGTAGTTCAACTTTATAGACAAGTCCATTTCCCATCTCTATACAGCAGCCAACATGAGCCAATATGTTCGACCATAACTTTTTATAACGAATTGGTGATTCTTTTGAAGTTTTTTAAATTGTGTGCATTCTTAAGTAATTATCATGAATAGTGAGTCAGTTGCAAAGAGCCATAGCGCATTTGATTGTCACTTCGCCTCTCTAATAGTGATTTTTTAAATACTTTGTTTAACCAAAATTTTGTCATACAATGTTAGTTTATACAGCCCAAGCATGGCCCAACAAAAATAAGTAACTTTATTAATATATGCATTCTTTTGATAGTTATAAAAATTGTGCCAGTTTTATACTTTATGGAAATACGATGGAGGACCAGGGTAAACAATGACAAACTGTAGGAAAAGACCACCCTTAACCAGAAAAACAACTTCTGAATAATTTTATTTGGATAATAACTTTTACGTGATTTTGTTGCATTCTTGAAAATTGAAAAAAGTTTTTACTAACATTCAAAATTCCAATCTGTCTTAATTTTATCTATTTGATTATCAAGACGTCGACGTAGTGGTAGGATTGCAGGATCGACATAATGAGAGGAAGACAGTGATGAAGTTATCCATTTTTTTTCTCTATGTGCAGCCAACATGGCCCAAAGTGGTAAGTAACTTTATAAATAATTTGTTAAAAGCATATATTTTGAAGTTTTACATTGAAACATTGTGCCAGTTTATACTTTAATGACTGGGATTCATAGGAACTTTTCTGTTTTATGGAGGAACAATCCTTCAAACAATCAGAGGAAGAAGAGATGACAAGTCCATTTCCCTGTCATACAACAAACATGGCCCTAAGTGGTAATATAACACTTTTCGTGATTTGTTGCATTAGTTTGAAGTTTTACTAACATTGTGCCAGTTTTATACTTTCAGGGTTTCGGAAGAGGAGCAACGATGGAGGAGCAGGGTCGACCTAAGGAATACGAGATGAAGAGTCCATTTGCATCTATGCAATACAGCAGCCAACATGAGAACCCTGAAAAGTGGTAAGTAACTTTTGTAAATTTGTTGCATTCTGTGTTGGTGTTAGTGTAACATGTGTGCCAGTTTTTATCACCGCTGGCTAGCAGCAATGCGGAAAGGGGGAACAAAATTCTAAGCAGGGTGAAACCATTCAGAGGAAGACGAGATGACGAGTCCATTTCCCATCTCTATACAGCAGCCAACATGGCCCAAAGTGGTAAGTAACTTTTCGTGGAATTGTTGTATAGTTTTGAAGTTTTACTAACATTGTGCCAGTTTTATACTTTACACAAATAAAGGTATTTAATCTGGGAAGAGGAAATTAACTAATTAGTAAATTCGGGAGTGAAATTAGGTACGAGTAATACATGAAAAACACAACCGGTATTTTTCATTTTTTGCTATCAAATTCCCAACCAGTGGATATTTTCCAGCAATATGGCCCTAAGTGTCAATAAATTTTCATAATTTGTTGCATTCTTTTGAAGTTTTACTAACATTGTGCCAGTTTTATACTTTCAGGGACTCATTAAAAGAGGAACAACGATGGAGGAGCAGGGTCACAACCAAAGATAAGTGATGATTTAATATGAAAAGAAAACGAATGTATTTCCATTCTAAATGAGCAGCCAAAATGGCCCAAAGTGGTAAGTAACTTTTCGTGATTTGTTGCATTGTTTTGAAGTTTTACTAACATTGTGACAGTTTTATACTTTCAGGACTCGGAAGAGGAACAACGATGGAGGAGCAGGGTCGACCAACAGAGACAGAAGAGCAGACGAGTCCAATACCCAACAAAATACAGCAGCCAACATCCCCCAAAGTGGTAAGAAACTTTTCGTGATTTGTTGCATTCTTTTGAAGTTTTACTAACATTGTGCCAGTTTTATACTTTCAGGGACTGCGAACGAAAAACAACGATGGACGTGAAAATTTCAGGTATGATAGTCCTAAGATAGGAAGTGCAAAATGAATTTCATTTTTATCGGAAGTGCCGCGCGCAGCCTCTCATGGCCCGAAAATTGTCCTATTGCGAATTTCAAAATTTTTACAACTTTTTGTGATATTGTTGCATTCTTTTGAAAATTTTGTTTAACATATAGAACATTGTGCCAGTTTTATGATTTCGAAAAAAAGGGACTGGCCCCTAAAATTAAGGGACTGGAGGGGCCATAAGTTTTTCTTTATATCTCAAAAAGTAAGAGAATTTGTAATACATCAAAAAAGCATTTCAAAATGTCAAGCTTATACAGCAGCCAACATGGCCCAAAGTGGTTAGTAACTTTTCTTGATTTGTTGCAGTCTTTTGAAGTTTTACTAACATTGTGCCAGTTTTATACTCTCAGGGACTCGGAAGAGGAACAACGATGGAGGAGCAGGGTTGACCAACAGAGGAAGACGAGATGACGAGTTATTTCCATCTCTATACAGCAAAACATGGCCGTTCAACAGTGGTAAGTAACTTTTCGTTGATTTGTTGCATTCTTTTTGAAGTTTTATTAACATTGTGCCAGTTTTTCTTTCAGGGACTGGGAAGAGTAAACAACACATGGAGGTAAAACCAGGGTAAAGCAGATGTAGGAGTCCATTTGCGCGCACTGCTATGCAAGAGCAGCGCAACATGGCCCAAAGTTAAAATGACCAATATATGTTGCATATCTTAACTCAAGTTTTGACTAACATTGTGCCAGTTTTATACTTTAAGGATATGGGAATAGAACAAAAATGAGGAAGGGTCAAAGAGAGGAAGACGCACGCGCATGCACGTGTGCTTTCAGCAGCTGACATGGCTGAAAGTGGTAAGTATCTTTTTGTGATTTGTTGCATTCTTTTGAAATTTTACATAGTCAACATTAGGGTGATCTACAGTCTGTAATATAAAATTTTTCAGTGAAAGCATGTGATGCACATGTGCTTGCAAGTTAGACAGCAACACGAGAAATGTCCCATATAATTATGCAGCAACCAATATTGAAGAAAGGTTGTGAAACAAATTTATAAGTATATATTAGTAAATGAAGTTTGTCATTTGTCAAAATAGCAAAATGTGAGCATGATTCTCCTTTGATGTGTTTGTTTATCTCTTGTTTAAGCATAATCCTTTGAAATTTTTAACTGACCACATTATGAAGATGAACAGCAGATATATAAGAATTTTCATGAAAAAGTGCGCATACCTGCGTGCTGCAATCTGATTAAAAAAAACTTTAAATCCCAATATTATTTGGCTTTCCAATTGAAATGTTAAAACTTTTTCAGGCTTTGACCTCTTGAGTTTGAATTCTACAGGAAGCACGAGTGCCACCTCTGATTGGCTTTGAAATGCTTTCTCCCTTGCATTCAGAACAGGATGGGATTTGTATAGTAGATGTAAGGTAGCTCCTACAAGAAGGTATGGTCATCATGCACGTGCACGCACGTGCGTGCATTTGGAACGAGTGAAATGAAAAATACAAAAAATAGTGATTTCCTTTTGGTGCATGTAATATATTGTATATTAAAATGTGTAGTAGTGTAGGCTTTAGATGATAGTTAGACAGCTTAGCAGGAGTGTAGGTTATATATTGTAATTAAGGTATTTGTTAAAGTCAAAGTGCACAGAGTTAGTCTTGTTTAATGAAGCTTACAGGGAATATGGCACCAACAAAGGGTTGGGGAGCTGTTTGGGGAACATGAAAATATATGAAACAAATTTTGGGGTAGGGGTGTAAAGAAATAGAACATTTCAGTGGGTAAATAAGTTTGTTTCTTAATTATTAAATAAATATTGGATTTATGTATATTGCATTACTTTATAATAACTGTATAAATATGGATTGAATGCATTTCTATCAACATCTCTCTTGACATTTTGACCTTACTTGTAGAATCCTGTTGTGGATAGACTTGTTCTGTCAAAATATGCTGCATTTACCTGTAAAATATATTGACTTTCACATAAGCATAATGGTGGGAAAGTGATATTGGAGACCCAAGAAATGATGAGTATTTGCAAGTAAAAATATGATGGAAATGTTTACCCAGTCTTCCCATGATCCTTTGGGGTTTGCATTTATATACGGTTCCAGTCTCTCTAGCAAAATTTGACATGCATTCTGTAATGGAAGAAGATGACTTATGTTTATCTTTACAGCTAAATTTATATGAACACATATCTACTTCCATATATCTTACAAATATAGTTTAATATTTAATATTTATCTTTCTAATTAATTGCACTTGATAGATAAGAAAATAATTCTCAAAATGAATGAATGTTGCTTATCTGATATATCCATTTTTTTCATCATTCTTACCTGGATGGCCATTCCGTTCAGATCTGAGCTGGCACTGGCTGCAGTAGCCGACGTATTGGGGACTGTGTTAGTACTCGTCTCACTAATGTGTATCTTAGAGGCAGGAATTCTTAATGTCCTGGCAGCAACCTTAAGAAATTTAGAAAATGAGTTAACAATTAGCAACTGAGGGAATCTACACATTATTTATATGTATAAATTGAGAAGGAGATCCAATTATGTTCATACTTTGGAACAAGGATAGGATTACATGCATATCCAAAGGTAAAAGACAACTTCTACAGCAAAGAAATGGAGAGGAGGGGGAATAAACACATGACAAGGCATCGCAAAGCAGAGCATTATCTCACAAAGCATTCAACATCAATCCCGATGCAAAGTAAATGCCATCATATATATCCTTCAACTTTGCTGTGAGGGGATATCAAAGCAATATTTGTTTTATGTGTGATGTACCTGGATCATTTTGGTGTGAAGTCCTTGTCCCATTTCTGTACCTCCATGTGTGATCAGGACTGACCCGTCCTTGTAGATGATGACCAAAGCTCCAGCCTGATAATGAAACAACATTAAATATGACCAAGTAATAGAAGGGAAACAACTCTATTTGAATCTCTACAAAATACACATATGCACATAAGAAAAAAAATATATAAACTTTTAAGACTATCTGCCCCCTCATACACGACAATCTTCAAGTAAAAATAGTCACTATACCTGTATATCAAAATCAAATTATTTGAACAAATCAGAAAGCTCACCTGGTTAAGAAACAATGCAGTGTATGAGATTCCAAACTTTGTTGGGATAATGGATATTCCCCTCTTTTTCCATCGGTTTTCACTAAAATTACATGTTTCTGTTACAGCACAAATTTTTTGAGGAATTTGAAACTGATCTTTGATAAGGATTTCCACATACTTTGATCAATTAACAGATACGTTCAAATTATCTTATAATTCAGAACTATAGCAAGTTCCATTGCAAAAAAACTGTCTACAGGGAAATTTTCGCCCCCCATTTTATTTTCATCCCTTTCGTCCTAACCTTGGTTGGGAGAATTTAAATTGGGGCGAATTCAAAGAACACAGTATAATTTCTTGAACAAAACTGTGATTGGTCGAATCTAAGATGGGGCAAAAATGTTTACAAGTGTTTAAGGGCAAAAATAAGGCGGGGTGAAAATAACCCTGTATACAGTTACCTGTTAAATATATCAATGTCCTTCTTCCTATTACAGTAATCACTTCTCTCCAGACACTCGCTCCAGCAGCGTTTGATGTTACACTGACGGAGAGCCTGGTTAAAGTGGGTTGTCTCCCCTTCATTGTACATGTTGATTTCCCTGACCTAAATATACATGAAATAAAAATTATCGTAATGAAACATTGGCTATTATAAAAGGAAGGAGGGTGTGGATGTCCTGCTCTTTTCCCAGCTGAAACCTTGATCATTACTACATGTACATTACTCTAGTTAACAATCTTTCATTCAATTTTTAAACAGTGTAATTGTTAAAGACTCAAAAGAGATAAAACATACATTACTGAACATGAACTTTGTGACATATGTCAAAAAAATACAGATTTGAAAGAGGTACCTGTTTTGCTGAAATGCCTAAAGTTGAGGCAATCTGCTCTATCCAGGTTTCTGTTATAAACATGCCTTGTGGTCCACCAAATCCCCGGAATGCTGTATTGGAAGGAATGTTAGTTTTACAGAGGTGTCCAGACACTCTGATGTTAGGAATCTTATAGCTGGCATCACTGTGGAATAAAGCTCTGTCCATTACCTGTAAATAAAATCATTTGAAAAATATTTCTGTTAAATTCATAGTATAATGCCTAGGATTTCAAATAATTATGATTTCAGAATATGAAATTTTATAACTCATTCACATAGATGTGTAATTTACTTACAGCACCTGAGAGATCCAAGCTATGTCCAGCATTGTTGTAAAGGTCACATTCAAGAGCTGTAATTTTTCCATCCTTAGTAAAGCCAACCTGTAGTTCAGAGAGAATACAAGTATTTTAAATTCATGTAAAAATATTCATATATACTGTAAATCACTTTTTATTCGCGAGAACTTTATTTTCGCGCAATTACGCGAGACGGTTTGCTCGCGAAAATTTCATTTTCGCGTATAATAGAATTCCTTAAGATTATATAGAGCAATGACCACAAGCCAATATGCTTAGGTGAGCATATTGCCCATTGGCCACTAGTTTATTTAAGAAATCTTCTCACTTGGTATGAAGTGCAAGTTTTATCTTTTTAAGAGGAATACTTTTAAGGCTGAACAGGATCTTGAAGTGAAGAGGGCCCTCTCTCATTGAACTGCATACAGCAGCAGAAAGCAGGGTAAGATTCAAATTTTACTTCTTGTATCTTTGCTTGCCTATTGATGTTGGCTGTACCAAGCTTTAACATCTGGACCTTCAATTGACAGATTTCAGTTCCCCTTTGATTCAGAAGTGGAACAACAATGGAGGACCAAGGTCATTAATACATGTATAAGAAGAGTCTATTCCTGTCTGTGTTTTGCAGGTATTATGTTTCAAAAGTGGTAAGCAACAAGCTGCTTTTTACTGAAGCTTCTCACTTGGTATGAAGTGCAAGTGTTTCCCCTTTTGTGTCTCTGTTTTATCTTTTTAAGCAGAAGAAAGTTACTGACCAGGAATTCTAATTGAGGAAGAGTCCCTTTCCCATTCCGCTGCAGCCATGAGAAGAATTAGATTGGAACTTCGTAAGAATCAGACTTTACTTCTTTTTTACCTATGGAACTTCATCATGACCCACTTTAACAGGCAGGAGTCTTACAAGTATTTTTTATTTAATTATTTCTGACATATCTTTGTCCTCCCTACTCTAAAGTAACTATGCTTTCCTCTCCTTGCCCCAATATTCCACCTTATTCCTAGCTATCATAACCTTATTGTCTTTATTTGCTTTTTGATTTTCAAGCTAATAATGTTGTAATGATTATGTTCATTTGAATTTCTGTGATTATTACATTGCTTTGTATTATTGCTTATCTTCTCTCCATCAAGTATTTTCAAGGAATTTGACAAGGGAAGAGGACCAGTGCTGACCAAGTGAAGAAAAAGAAGAGTCTATTGCCAAGCTTTGTACAGCAGCCAATATCTGATTAAGGAGTGGGTAAAAAGATTTATTTTTTGCAATTTACAAATTTTCTTTATACACTTATCAAATCATAGGTCCGGGGGATTTACTTCTGCTGCACAACAGCAAGACTGTGTTGCAATAACAATAGGGCATCCCGAGGATGTGTTGTTTCAAATTAGGTTACATCATGATCCCTTTGGACTAGGATTAGTAAAAAAAATATGAATTAAGAATTTTTCTTTTGATGACAAAGTCAGGTGACTCAGGTGAACATTTGGTCACAAGGTATTTTTGTTCATGTTTTTTTCATTATCTTTGGATTTCCTTTGTTAACAAGTAGAAGATGAGACTGATCTCAATCAGTTAACAAGAATGTGGAAAGTAAGGACTTACTACTGTCTAACCTAAACATTGATGGTTAGTCAGATCAGATGCATGTAAAGCTCTATAGACCTTGCATTATGTGAATTAAAGGAGATTTTGACTCTCTCATTGCTTGGATTCTTAGTGTCTTTTTGTTAATAGGCAGACGGTTATGCTGGCATTGATCCTGTTTCCAAAAGCAGATCAACATGATTCCTCAAGACTCCAAAGAGATCAACTATGGGACCTGAAAATAAAGGTAAGACACATGTACAATTTAGCTCTGCAAAATCCTTCTATTCTGTAAAAATATGTTAGCTATTTTTCATTTATTAAGATTTTATTAATATTTATGTTGAGTCCTTGTGATTTCTTTTTTTACAGGCAGACTGCCATCAATTTCATGTTTCTTTGATAGCAGACAAATATGCTTCAACAATAGTGCAGAGAGTAATTTAAGGTTTGGACTGCAAGTGATGGACACACTAAATAACTCAACTCAAAGAATTCAATGGATAGTGCTGAGTACATTATTATATATCTACAAAGTGATGGGCACACTAAATAGCTTAACTGACAGAATTCAATGGACCGTGCTGAGAACATTGTTATATATCTACAAAGTGATGGACACACTAAATAGCTTAACTGACAAAATTCAATGGGCTGTGCTGAGTACATTGTTATCTACAAAGTGATGGACACACTAAATAGCTTAACTCACAGAATCCAATGGACAGAGTTGAGTATGTACTAATATCTACAAAGTGATGGACACAGTAAACAGCTTAATTCTCAGGATTCAGTGTACCATGCTGAGTACATAACTCATTAAGGATAACTCATATGACATCCACAGCAGATCACTCAAACTTGTGTTACTACATTATTGTACAACTTTTCATATACTAAGTTATTTTTTCTGAATGTTTTTTTGTGTCTGTATATTATATTTTTTAATTTAAAAAAGTTAAAGATTGGATTTTTAAGCAAAAATATCAAGAGAGGTAAATCAGTGCTTGTCTGAATATCTAAGCTTATTAGAGAAAGGGAGGTATTTTTTTTGTGTGAATCCTTGTCCAGAGCATATGCTTTCTCCCCTTGGTCTAATGTGGCTAATACTTCTCTCACAGAGTGCCACTGGTCAATGGATGTGTAGTAACCTTGAACAAAGTTTCTAGGCCAAGAGTCAAGGTTAAAACCCCTTTCAGCTACTTTACATTTTTATGTTCATTGCTGAAAGTGTGACCCTTTGAGATGGCCACTATCTCAATGATATCTAATTTTAGTTTGAAAATTGCTAGAAAAGATAAAGTGATCTCATTGTAACATTATTATTTTTTAGTGTTTTAGATTATAAATAAATATAACAATATACAAAATCTAAATTCTTTTATATTTTCTCTCCTTTGATTTACATAGCAGGCCTTGCAGTTTTTAGCTCATATGAGATTTTCTGATCACCTGTTGTCCGTCGTCCATCAGTCTGACTGTCCATTCATCTGTAAACTTTTCACATTTTCAGCTTATTCTTGAGAACCATTGGGCCAATTTTGACCAAACTTAGTACAAAACATCCTTGGGTAGTGGGAGTTTAAATTATAAAAATAAAGTCCCCTTCTGAGGGGAAATTGTCAAGAATATACAAAAATAGGGTGGGGTCATAAAAAAATCTTCTCGAGAACCACTGGGCCAGAAAAGCTAAAACTTCTGTGGAAGCATCCTGGGGTAATGTTACTAGTGTAGATTCTAAATTGCTTGGATCATGACCCCTGGGGATTGGAAAAGGTCAAGATAGCCCGAGGTATTAGGGGGAATTCTGTTTAATAACATAATGGCCAAAGTTACTCAGGTGACAGATGTGGCCCATGGGTTTCTTGCTTATCTAATTTAGTTTTATCTTTGTATGCAACACTTTTTCCTTCTTTTAGTTGTTACTGAGATTCTAAGCTATTTAAGTTTTTTTATGAAATATTTTTCCTTGTCAAGTTCTATAAGCATGTTCTACCTCATACACAAGTAGTATATGAAGATTTTCTAGATGTTTCATATTTTTTCAATTTTTCTTGAAAAGCATAACTGATGTACATGTAATTGTAAAAACTGTGTTTGTCCCTTGTGATACATGATTAATTTATATCAGTTTGAATTTATCATGTATATTAAAATACACTATTATACAGTCTGTTTGTCATGGAATTAAACTTGTTGAGTTTTTATTCCACCTCTATAATTGAAGATTTGGGGGCATATTTTGATAAACTGTCTGTCTGTTTATGTGTCTCCAAAGAACTATATGCGGTATATTGCATATATTTGCCCCCACAAAAGTCAAATTTTGAAAACTTCCTGAAATATGCTGAATTCAATAAATTGTATGAGAAATATAAATTAACAGAAAATATTATAGTGTCAAAGCAGTGTATTCACTATTTTTGTTTTTCATAATGACGTCACAAACTAGTCCGATTTTATATCCTTTTTCAGAGAGAGGACAAAATGGACAAAATTTCAACAATTTTAGCTTTAAAATTTATAGAGCGCAAGTTTGTTCAGGAACAATATTGACATATTTCATTGATATTATCATTCTACACATTATATCAAAATATTGATCCTGAACACACATGCGCTCGGTGACTTTTACTCAAAATATCGACGAAATATGTACATTTTTCTGAAATTCATAAAAGACTGAGATTTACGTCATGTTTGTGACGTCATTACGTACATATGACATCATTACTTTTGAAAATATTCAGTGCTTTGAAGTCAGCATATACTCCCCTGTTTAAGAACTTAATTAAATATATTTCCATCAAAGTTTGATTTTGGGGGCAAATATTGGTTATAACCGAATAAAGTTCTTTACTAATTTTTACTACCCATGGCCATTCCTTTTGAACTTTTTTTAACCTTTAAGTTAGACTTTGACCTACTTTGGTAAAAAAAATGATGTGAATGATTAGTGCTAGGGCTTTCATATTTCAAACATGTATTCCTTGAAATGAAACTTCTCTTTTTACCCCAAACAAAGGAAGTTTTAGAGACATATAGGAATCACATTGTCTGTGAATGTAATTTTTTTTAGGCTCTAACTTTGATATATGGAAACATTGGAAGCTTATACTTGTTATAGAGCTTGCTTGTAATGACCCGACAGTTAGTCCTGATCTGACACAAGGTCATTCCTGCAAGTTCAAGGTCACTGGCCTAAAAGTATGAAATTTTTGTCTGGGTCATAACTTGTAGAAAGAATCACTGGAAGCTCAAACCTGGTACAGGGATTGCTTATGACCCAAAAATGTGTCATGATCTTATCCAGTCATTCCGTTTAGTTCAAGGTTACTAGTAGAAAAAAGGTATGACATAACTTGACTTTGTAATGGAGAGTCAGTGGAAGCTCATACTCGGTACAGATATTGCTTATGATCAAAGAATATGCCTTGACCTTTATCCAAGGTCATTTTGGCGATTTCAAGGTCACTGGTAGAAAAAAGGAAAAAAAAATGTCTAGGCTAAAACTTTATTTGGAAAAGAATTGGTACAGGTATTGTTTTTGAAATAAGGAAAATTCTTATTTTAATCCAGTGTCAATGCAGCAAGTTGAAAGTTACAGGCAGAATAGTGTAAAATTATTTTTTTAAGGCTTTAACTTGACAATGTAGAAATACTAGGAGCTTGTACTAGGAGCTTGTACTTGATACAAAGATTGCTCAATGGAACCTGATACAGGTACTGTTTATGAACCTAAGGAGTGTCATGACTTTAATTCCAAGTCAAATAGCAAGTGAAAGGTTGGTGGTATAAGAATTAAAAATTATGACAAGCCTTTATTATCTGATGGAGAAATATCTGTACGTATGCACAATGATTCACTTAAAGTTTACTAATGATCAAAGTATATGTGAATTTTGACTAGTCTCAGTCTTTTTGGCAAGAAATTGAAATGAAATGGCAAATTGAAAAAAAAAATTCATTTTGGACCAATCCCGATCAAAATAAAACCATAATGAATAAAATAACAATTTATTGCCTTCTTTATTGTCCCCCGCTTTAGCGAAAGCAAGGGGACATTAAATCTCATTCGTCTGTCCGTCTGTCACAAAAACTTTAACCTTGCCCATAACTTTTGATTTAGTGGAGCTATGACTTTTATATTTCACTTGTGTGTCCCTTGTGAGAAGACCTTTCTTTGGGTACCACCATATTTGACCTTTTGACTTAGACCTTGGAGTTTGACCCACTTTTACACAAACAAGAGGCCCACGGGCCTTATAGGTCACCTGAGTATTGGGCAACAACTTTCAAATTATTAAATTTGGTTCCTGTTTTAAACCAGAGGCCATGAAATTCGCAATTCACAATATTGAAAGAGGCACCATTGCTTATCATAATTATAGACTTAGCATGCTTACTCTATTTACTTAATACCAAAAGGTAGATCAGAGTAACATAGAGAAAATGCACTTCTGCTTTATAACTAGTTGTGCACATCATCCCAAAGGAACCCCTGATCTTGGGGCCACATATTTCAAAATTTTGCAAATTTTATCATATATGGTTGATTAATACCTAAGAGCAGATTTCAAAGCATTAATTTTATTTTCAGACTATGTACCACCACCCCACCCCCCAACCCAGGAAGGGGGGGGGCATAAAAAAATAACCATTTTGCTAGATGCCCCTTCCTCCATCATAAATATATATTCTTAGATCATTGGCATAAAACCCAGGAGCAAAGAAGAAGATTTTCAAAGAATTAATGCATTTTCACTATATGATCAATAGAGCCCTGCCCTAACACCAGAACCCCTGACCCTGGGGCCACAAAATTCACAATTTTGGAAGAGGCACTCTTGCTCATCATAACTATGTACTTAGTTAGTTTATTTAATACCCAGAATCAGAGGAGAAGATTTTCAAAGAATTAATGCATTTTCACTATATAACCAATAGTGCCCCGCCCTAACACCAGAACCCATAACCCTGGGGCCACAAAATTCACAATTTTGGAACAGGCACTCTTGCTCATCATAACTATGTACTTAGTTAGTTTATTTAATACACAGAATCGAGGAGAGGATTTTCAAAGAATAAATGCATTTTCACTATATAACCAATAGTGCCCCACCCTAACACCAGAACCCCTGACCCTGGGGCCACAAAATTCACAATTTTGGAAGAGGCACTCTTGCTCATCATAACTATGTACTTAGTTAGTTTACTTAATACCCAGGAGCAGAGAAGAAGATTTTCAAAGAAATCATGCATTTTCACTATATAATCTACAGTGGACCTTCAGATATCCGGACGCCAGATATCCGGATGCTTCAGTGTCCGGACGATTTTTCATCGGAACGAAATTTTAAAATGTTATTCTGTCTTGTTTAACTGGTGATTCAGATATCTGGATGCTTCACATATCCGGACAAATTGACTGGGAACCAAAGCGTCCGGATAAATGAGGGTCCACTGTATATAGCCCCGCCCTAACACCAGAACCCCTGACCCTGGGGCCACAAAATTCACAATTTTGGAAGAGGCACTCTTGCTCATCATAACTATGTACTTAGTTAGTTTATTTAATACCCAGAATCAGAGGAGAGGATTTTCAAAGAATAAATGCATTTTCACTATATAACCAATAGTGCCCCGCCCTAACACCAGAACCCCTGACCCTGGGGCCACAAAATTCACAATTTTGGAAGAGGCACTCTTGCTCATCATAACTATGTACTTAGTTAGTTTACTTAATTCCCAGGAGCAGAGAAGAAGATTTTCAAAGAAATCATGCATTTTCACTATATAATCTATATAGCCCCGCCCTAGCACTAGAACCCCTGACCCTGGGGCCGTGAATTTCACAATTTTGGTAGAGGACTCAATGCTCACATTTTAAACTTTTCAAGACGAAATCACTTCC